AATTAAATCAAATTGCAGACACAAACATAAAGCTCGACAAAATTTAAAAAAAAACCTAGGACGAACCGAAGATGGCGTTGAATTCGAAAGGACATATTTAGATATATTTTCTTTAGAAAAATAACACATTTACTTATTGGTTTATTGCGAACGTGTTTGCATAAAATCAATGTTTAACATTGATGACATGATCAAAACAATCATTTGTAATATTAGTTTAAAAAGTTATTCAATTTTCAGTTGCATATATCTTTATTCTCTATATTGATTGTATACATATATATCTACTCTTGCTATCATCATAATAGAAATCGATAAGAATACCATAAGTAAAACCAGGAATACTATGAATTGTCCTCTCCCAGATGAACAACTTCAGACGTAAGCAAAGTTGTAAACATTGGCGAGGAAGTCGTCGCTTGTATGTTTTATGTAAACAGACTACGTTTGGTAAACAACACAGGCATGCAAAACGAAATGAAAATTTTCAGCATTCTCTTTTTGCAACTCTACTCGAAATACGACGCCCATTTTTGGTGGGGAAAATCCGTGAAAATTTTCTTTAAAAAGTTACAAATTGGGCAAAAAAATCTTTTGTAAAGTGACTAATTACTGAATTTCACGTCCATCGTCATCAAAAGTGCAAACATAGCCTCTGTGCGTTTTTTCGCAATCAAGAAGCAGCTTTTTGCGCTGCAAATAATCTACAACAGCGGCTGGATGGTCTGCACGGCGTGGCACACCATCTGCTGCTATCAATCCTACTCCGGCACAACTTGCTTCGACAGTTTTTCGTTTCCTTAGACACCAAACATTGGCAGTTTAGGTTTCTTTTTTCGATATTCTGAACTGATAAAACTTTCTTCGTCTTTGTCTGTTTTCAACAAATTCTTTCTCAACATCCTTCTTCCTAATATCTCTTTAGGTAAGTCAGATTGTTTTGCAGTATAGCATTTAAGCTAATACGAAGACAAAAACTTGTCCTACCCGTAAGAGATTGAGGCTGGTAAATATAGTTTTAAAAAGACGATACGATAAACGCAAAATTCATAAATGTTCAGATAGTGCAAAGGAGAACTCCAGCTGATGATCATCCTTAAAATGGAGCCCTTACCCTTCTTTGCAATGATGAATAATAAAAACAAGTGCGTCTAAATTCTGACCTCTTCTTTTTCGGTTATAATAAATATTTTGATCTGCCAGGGTTCTTAGAACAATTTAGGACAACTAATAATGGCAAAGCAAAACTTCTCCTTGACAATAGCTAGAATGTTCATAATTTTTTAAAGGACGACTTCACTTCCAAACGTGCAGAGGCATATATTCCTAGAAATTTCACCGAGAAATTTTGTAAAATTCGTAACATTCCAATATCTATGAAAGAAAATGATATTTTAAAGAACGCAGAGTCCGAAAGCAAAATAAACTCAGTCACCAGAGTATATCACGGAGACCCTTCCAATAATAGCAACTTCATCACATAACGGCATTAAAATTGGCTTTAAGCAAAGGGAAATTCCCAAAACCATTCAATTCAATTTTTGTATTCTCCTAGCAGATTACTTTAAGCCATCTCTTAAATTTTGTTTCCATTGCGGCAGAATTGGTCACATTGCTAAATTCTGTAAGAGCAATGAATCCCACTGTCCTAGTCCTGGCAAATCTAAAGCTTCCTTGCAGGATAATTGCACACAAACTAAATGTCTTACCTGTGGCGCGTCTGCCCACCATGTTCGTAATAAAGGATGTCCGAAAAGAAAACAAGACCAAGTAAAAGAAATAATGTTCATTCAACATATCTCGTTCCGTGAGAAATACACCGTAAACGCTTTTGCCTCAATAATGATTGGGAGGAAAATTTTCCACCCATAAATAACAACAATCTCAAACAACATAAGAATTACTACTATTAACGATGTTAACAAGACTTTAACGAAAAAGAATTTCAATCATGTAGTCAGGCAAAAGTCAAACCTCCAATACTCCAAGAGGGCAAACCACTCCTCTCACTCTAACTTCATCCCACTATTTCCCCCAAGCCTGCTGCACTCTACAATAATTATAAATATACTGAGATGCAGAAACATCTGAGCAAAATTTTCAAATTGGTCTCTTCAGATTTCAGTGGAGACCACCCTAAAAGTCTTTCCGCTGAAACGTTAGCCCTTAAATCATTCTATGATGAACATGATTCTTCTTTAATTACAAATGATATCCTTCTTATAATACAACGTCCAAAGTTTTAGGCCCAACGCACGCTCTCTGGACTTTTATCTTAACTCCACTAGCATAGACTTTGCCATTTTTATAAGATTTTTTTATCAGACGAGAACGTGTCTGTACATAAATGTCTTGTCGGTGATTATGGAATGGTGGCCATCCGCATTAAGAAAAGTATCCGTTTTAAGCAAACCTCACACATTGTCAGCATTAAAACTTCATCTTCCGTACCCTGTTACTTCAAATCACACATTCCTATTCAGATTTTCCGTAATGATATGCAACGGCTTTGTGGTTTTATCGAAGGTTTTTGAAAAGTAGTTCTTGCCCGCGATTTCAATTCGAGACAGTCTCGAACAATAGAAGTAAAACCATCTATTACATCATGAGCTTCAGTAGTTTTCTTTGTCTTCACTCTAATGACTCTTCCGTGACTGGTAATGCTTTAGATCTAACCTTCTCAAATTTAAATAATGTTACTTTTCAATGGGACAGTTTTACCAGGAAATCATATCGGCCCGAATCTACCTACAGACCCATGTCATGTGGTCTTTTCTGGGATTTTGCGCAAACTGCAAGCGGCTCCAAGCAAAAATTTAGCAAATATGCTAACTGCATAACTTTAAGAAAGTTCAAAAAGAATGGAAGAAAGCGGTAAGGAAAGCAAAAATGATTCATTGTGCTCAAAAAATTCATCTACTTTGTACAAATAATAACTGAAAACAATTTTGGAAATTTTTAAATGGTCATTGTCAGATGAACTGAAGAACCTAAAATGGAATGATGCCCCATCTAGAATGGCTTAAAAACTAGGTAGCCACAGCCAATGCTAGATTCCTTCCCTCTCCTCAACATTCTGCAGGCAGGGGGTCCGCTTTCTTGTTGGGAGAACTTGTTCACGTCTTTCAACGGAGAAACTAGTACTATGTGTCTCAATGAGGTTATCTTCACAAGTTCAAGTAAAAAGTGGACGGCAACAAAGTCGTAATGCTGACTTTAGACATCAACAAAGCTCATGATTGTGCTGATCTGAGTAGACTTGGTAAAATCCTGAGTGATTTTACGCTCCGCTACAGCTGGAAACTTTTAAGAATTGTCAGCCTGGAACAAGTGTCATCACACTCATGAAAACGTTGCAAGACGCACTTCCCCCAAAGAAAACTTTAAATGTGACAAATTCTTAGTCCGATGAAAAATAGAATATGTCTACTCCAAACAAAAAAAAAGAAATCCGTTCTAAGGCGTTATACTCATTTATACTCTCGACACCGATACCCATTCTAAAACGTATTTCGAGTTCAAGGTTTCTAATTTCAGTCTCAAAGAGGGCCTATTTGCTAATTGCACAGAAAGTTTTAAAAGTATAAATCTTTAGACCTTCTCTCTTCGAAAGGGTGGTATCCAGATGAAATAAAATTTCTAGCAGCCATAGAAGCTGCTACCAGAAATTTTCAACAAAGTTAACGCCATCCACATTTCGGTAAATTCTGGGATATCCACCTTCTCGGTAGTCATATGTACTGAATTAGTCCTAGGCAAATTCAAAGTCCTGGAAAAACTATCTTCCACCTTTGTTGGGCTCCTTGCCAACAGCCAAGCGTTTGTTTTTGCTAAAACCAACAAAATAAAAAATTGTGTTATCTTTTATAATAACAAATGATGTTAATAAGAAATAAACATTCGTGTAATATGTAAGTTTCTGAAATCAATGATATGTTAAATGATTCTCTCTTTGAAGAGTACCACGTGATCTGGATTCATGATCACTGAGGGGATAAAAGATTAGTTATACAGGAATGGAATAGAAAATTTAATATAATGGTGAAGAAGACGTCATTTATAAGTATTAATCGCTAAGAATGTATTATAACAGAAGTGTTAATATTCACTTTTAACTAGAAAAGAATATATAATAGTTAACTTTTTCTACGATAAAAAATTTAAAAATTTCTATATAATTGTCCATGCATTTCAGTTCCCGTGCTTGTTATTGTTTACATAAAACACAAACGTCAATTTGTCTCCCATTTTCTATTCCTCTCTCAGATATTAATGCATTTGTGGGGGATGTATAGAAAAGCTGACGATAACCAATTGTCTCCCCCAAAAAACCAAACAGTGTGATAATCACGGGACTGCATTTTCCCCCTAAGATGACTTTCTCGACAATATTAGCAACTTTGCTTACGTCTGAGGTTGATCATCTGAGAGAGACCATTTCATGATATTACTGGTGTTACTTATGGTATTCTTATCGATTTCTATTGTGATGATAGCAAAAGTAGATGTTTATGTATACAATCAATATAGAGAATAAAGATGCATGCAACTGAAAATTGAATAACTTTTTCAATTCAATTTTTGCAGATGAAATTAATAATTAATAAGTATTAAAAGTTTCAGATAAATAAAAACAAAAAAAGTTGTAGTAGTTTTTTAACTAATATTACAAAAGATTGGGAACACATGTTTAATCAAATGTTATCCATCGATTTTATGCGAACATGTTCGCGATAAAAGCGTTGCTTTTCTAAAGAAAATATATCTAAATATGTCCTTTCAAATTCAATGCCATCTTCGGTTCTTCCTAGGTTTTTCTTTAAATTTTGTCGAGCTTTATGAGATATAAATCTGCAATTTGATTTAATTAATGTCACATTCAAGTGTTTATTATTTACTAAAATCTTTGTCCACAGAAGAGGATATAACAACTCCGTTTTGTACTTTTTATTTATAAAAACTCTAACATCTGGTAGTTGACTTGACTGCACTTGAAAGTGGAGAACGAAGAAATTGCAAATTGGGAACAGAACAAATCACAGAAAATCATAAAAAAAACAATCAATGGAAAAGGATGAAAAATACTTAGAAGTTGCTTTATTCTACTTTAATTAATTGTTTTACAAAAATACCTTGAAATAATTGTAATAATAATTTGTTCTGGCATCAAGTTTTCATTGAGGGTGTTAATGGGTGCAGAATTAGTTGGTTGTCAACACGCATGTTTTCTATATTAGCATTTTTTCGTTCTTATTGTGTGACGGAGCTAAAGTGAGAAGCAAAAGATATATAGGCCAAGCCGCCGTTACCTATTTTAATAATTTTGCTATATCTATACAAATTTGCAATTATTTTAAAAGGTGTTATGAGAAACTATGGCGGTTAAGGTGCAATTTGAGATTGGTCATACGTCAAAATTACGTAGTAAAAAAACTCCAGAAGGTTTTACACATGATTGGGAATTATATGTAAAAGGGGTATCTGGGGCCGATATAAGTTGTTTTGTGGAAAAAGTGATCTTCAATTTACATGAATCGTTTCCCAAACCAAAACGCGGTAAGAGTAGTTATTTCTTCAATTTACTTTCGTAATAACTTTTGAAATTATAGTGTGCAAGGAGCCGCCATATACAATTCAAGAGTCGGGCTATGCTGGTTTTATGTTACCCATCGATATTTATTTTCGTATTCGCGAGGAACCTAAACGGGTGCAGTTCAATTATGATTTAGATTTGCAACAGACAGGCCCACCTCAACATAGATGCGACATACAGAAATTTATATTCGATAATCCCTCGGAAGAATTCCGTTTAAAATTGCTTAAAGGTGGAGGCGTACCGGTATCAGGGGTGGTACCTGGTACAGTTGGAGCAACTATGGTATCATCAGCAATGGCTGGTGACAATCACAAACCTCTACCAGTGACCGAAATTAAAAAGCACAAATCACGTTCAGAAGAGGCAAAATTGCCGACATTTACTAATCTTTTCGGCACTCCTATAACTAAAGGCACCAATTCAATAACTACTCCAAGTTCGCTATCTTCGGCTAAACATTCACCCGATTTAAAACCAACTGTTGCAAACCCATTGTCTTCAAAATCTTCAGTTAATGTAACAAACAGTAATTCCAGTTCAGGCACATCATCAAGAGAAAAATCGAACAAAGATAAAGATAAATCGACATCATCTAACAGCGACAAATCGAGGGAAAGGTCAGAAAGAAAGGAAAAACATCACAAGCAGTCGGCTAATAGCCCGCATAAAGAGGCACGTGGTGGTGAAAGTAAACGGTCAGACAGCAGCAAACATGATAAGCGGGATAAAAACGAAGATAAACCGAAAAAAGATAAATCACGAGATAAAGAAAAAGAACGTAGTCGTGAAAAAGGTGCCATCACCACTGCTCAAATTTCATCGTCAACATCTGCGAAACGTTTAAATAGTCCTAAACGTGAAATAAGTCCGTTAAAATCATTACAGGTTGTAAACAATATCAATACAACATTAACAGCGTCGACAGCAATCACACATCCCATCGCTAGACCTTCTTCTTCCAATAGCGGCCGCTTGGAGAATGAACAAAAATCTTCCTCCAAATTGTCAAGGGATAATATGAGTGAATCCTCTAAGTCTAGGGAATCTAAAAAGGATTCCGGCTCTTCTTCTGGCAGCAAGAGGTCTAAAAGGGAAAAGAAGGATAAAGACAAGGAAAGAGATAAAGAGAAAAGACACGAGGACAAAGACAAACACAAGCCTCAAAATCCTGTAGAAGTAACAGCAGCCGCCACTGCCAATGTGTTACAAATAGAAAAAGCTTCCAAGTCAATCATAACAGCAGCGACCACAGCCAATTCGAACGGCACAAGTCCAGATGTTGCAAATACGAAGAATCGTGATAAAACTTCAAAAACAGATTATAAGACAGTAGAAAGAACAACTGATAAACAGAACGCACTCAGTAATAGCACACTTACGGTTGCGGCCGGAGGCCAAAGCGCTTCATGCCTTTCTACTAACAGCGGGAACGAAAAACCGAAGAGTTCTAGTTCCAATAATTCCTCGACATCCACTGCAGGACTAGCCAGTGGTCCCGAGAAGGACAAACGTTCACATAAACATAAAAAGAAAGAAAAAAGTAAAGACAAAGACCGAGAGCGCGATAAAGAAAGAGAACGTGACAAAGATAAAGACAAAGATTCCAGAAAGGAGGCAAAGGAGTTAAAAGATAGGTTAGATAAACCAACGGAAGACAAAACTGAAAATTTTACTGATAATAAAAGTTCAATGCAGTTAGCTTCCAGTCCCAGTTTAACACAAAACCTAGAGGAAACTTCAACTATTACCACAATAACTTCATCAGGTTCGCTTACCAACAACAACGGCAGCAGCACTACAGTGACAAAAAAATCACAAAACAAGGAGAAGAAATCCAGGGAGAAACCGACGTCACGGGAAGAAAAAAATAAACATAAATTACAAGATATGAATGGTGCGGGACTAAAAACGAAGCAGACCAAGCTAACCACCAGTCAAAGTAATGTATCCATAGCGGCATCCGTTACCACAACAAAGCCAACAATATCGGCAGCAACGGTGACTACTTCCAATGTCCAAACTGATAACCAGATGGAAGTAAGCGACTTGGGCAGCGCAACTCCAAAGGGCGTAACTGAGCAACAATCTTTAAACAGGAATACTATCCTGCCAAATAAATCACAATCCACATTACAACATTCCGACAGTTCAAATTCAAGTTTTCCCGATTTACCGGTAAAGTCAACAAATGTTAAACAAGAATCCTCTAAAAATAATGCAGCCAGTACGAAAACGGTGAAATCTACTAAGGAAAGAGATAAATCTTCAGATAAAGTGGAAAAAGAGGATAAAAAAAGAAGACGTAATTCAGTAGCCTGTAGCAACACCTTTATTGAACCTCCTCTAAAACAAAGCAAAAAGGAAGTTAACAAAGCCACAAGGGAAAAATCGATATCTCCTTCGCTACGTAACGCAAGCACGAAAGCGACTTTGCCAGAAGTCAACACGTTTTTGCAACCCAGTCCCTCACCCTCAAGCGTGGCCTTGACCTCGACTAACACATTACCAACACCTCCACCGACAACGGCAACACCGTTACAAGCTACCACTCCTTCACCCGCCTTAAATATAAACGACACACTTACTAGTGCCAATTGTCCAGCCCCATTAACGGTTACCAGCACGCAACAGCAACAATCATCCGTTGTAGTGTCGACACCTGTATCACAACCGCCGCCAACCTTGGCTACGGATTATTGGAGTGAATTGCAAGAATTGCATCATAAAATTATGACTTTACAAGATAATGAAGATTTGCAACAAGTAGTTGAACTAATTGCTTCTACCGGTTGCTACGAGATAACGACAAAAACATTTGATTTTGATCTTTGCAAATTGGATCGCAATACCGTACAACGTCTGCAAGATTTCTTTGCAACATCTGTATCATGACATAAAATACATTTTTAAAAGGTTTACTAAACGAAGGTGAACAAGCGAAAGGTTTATGAAAACCAACTTAGAAAGAGGATAATGGAGGTAAGATATATTATCTTAAATTTTAAAAAATTCGCAAAAGCCACGAATGTTGCCTAGTCAACAAACTAAGATAATGGTATATTTCTCGTTAGCTCCGATCGGCGGTAGTCATTTTGTTCTCCTTTAATAATTATGTCAAATCCTTATACAAATGGAATTTTAAACTTAAGCTTAACTAATAAGGCTGCTTTCGGTCAAGTCAATCAAAATCGGCATTAACTAACAGAAATAATGTTTGGAGATTTCCGTAGCATTAAACAAACTTCATAAAAAAGCAAACTCGGTATTGCGATATGCCTAAGTGATCTTTTTGTGAGATGCTAAATATAAACGGAGCTCCCGTTCACGAACATACAGATGCAGAAGCAGATGGAATAATGTGGCAAAAATTACACATTATTATTATTCGGGAAGAAATCAAAGTTTTTCGTCCTTGCGAATGCTTTTTTGATACACACTTTTAAAGGTATCCAACATTAGCACAACCTTTGTGCTTCTGTAATCTAATAAATTAAATTCTTTAAGGAAAAAGCTAATCATCAAGAGGAAACAACCCTTTGCGAACAATCGATTTAATTGATTTTGATCCTTTTTTCAATTTTATTATAGATGACTTGCGATAAGTCTTAAATCGGATAATTCAACCAATACTGCGTTCTTTCTTAGCAAACACATCATAAAAAAGAAAAGCGATTAATAAAGAAATATTAGGTGATTAACATTATCATTACATTTAAGTGCATTAATTCTTAAGCAAATAATTAAAAATTATTAAAATGTAAGAAAAAAAACTAATATTATATTATGTTATCTAAAATATTATAATTGAATATACAGATACGCAAACACACACGTATATACATATATATATATATACATATATATATATATATTCATGCTGCAATATAATTGTTAAATACCGCTGCGAGTAAAAGCACATAAGATAAGTTAAACCAAAAAAAAAGGAAAGAAGCAGAGCACAGACAAAAAAAAGTGTTTTACGTAAATAAAACGCGCGTAAGAAAGATAATATACGTCTTCAGGCAAATCTTTGATATCCACTACGTCACGCCAGCATATAAAGATTTCAAAGCATTTTATTGATTATAAAAATGTCAGTTGGTCCTACTCAGTTAGTTGGAAAATATTTGAGCCCAATATACATCACAGATTCGCCTATACATTTATGTCAGCATACCAAAAATAGTATATTTTATAGTTGCAGTCTTTTGCTTATGGCGCGTGCAAAATCGGCCGGTAGCCGCCGCCTAGAAACATGTATGGCATATTCCATTCTTCAACCTAATTTCGTTTCTTTATCCTTCCTTTTACGCGTGAGTGCTCCAACAACAAACGAACCTATGCCTATCAGGATTATTTTCTGGAGAAATGGGGAGAACAATCTACTCATGTCTGCATCCTTTTGGTGAAACCTAGAAAACTGCAAAATTTCATGAAGAAAAAACAAATACAATGTAATATATTTCAAGAAACGCAATAATTGCTTTAATTGCACATGTTGTAAATAGTTTAAGAAATATGGAACCCTTAGGAGGTCAAACTCATTCATTCAATCCTATTAAGTAGCACTTTTCCGATTCATAAAACGCCGCATATATTATTAGTCCAAATTTTTTACAGTACAAAATTTGAAAATATATATAGGTTTTAAGCTTCAAATTTATTTGTATTAGGTATACAAAATAATGTTTATGTGTTTACTTACATTTATGCACACAGCTAGCCAAAATGGTGGGATAGACGGGTATTAAACATGTATTCTTTGCTGATGATTGAATAGGTTTCTTAGAAGTACCCTTTTAACAGCCTATCGTGTCCATCATCTACAAGTAGTTATACATTATATAAATGAATGGGACTAACTTAATCCCGAGTTACGCAAAAATGTGTAGTTTTCTTAAAACTTCCCACGACTATTATAGTATAGTGTGTTTTTTGTTTAATTGTAGCAATTTAAAAGAGTTACATAATTAAACCTAAATTTATTTTGAAATTTAAGAAAATGAATTTAAAGCCGAAAGCCTATAAACATCTATAACCACAAATTTTTTGTACACATACAAAATATATGAGAAAAATTTGCTTTACATATAAAGAAAGAACTGCAAACATTATAAAAGATCTTGCAAAATTTTAAAAGAAAAAAACAAGTAAGAGTATATAAGAATAATACAATAAGAAGAATATGGTCGTCCATCGTAAATCTAGTTACTTAAAAGGGAAACGTGAATACATGCTATTTTGGGAAAATATCAATTATCATATCACATCATTATAATGGATAAGTTTCCAAATACGTCAGGTATTAATAATGAAAAACAGTTGCCCCGTCACTTAAAATTACTGCACTATTTTCCAAAGTACTCTGCTTTATACACTTTTACATACGTTCGTATCGCTTGATACATCTCCAAAACATGGTTTTTAAACACAACAGTGAATTTCTTTGGCAGCGAAAACTGTTTACGTGCAATTCATTACCGACATTCGGTTACAAAGAGAAGTCATTGGGTATCAGATGAAGACTGTAGGCAGGTGACGGACTAATGCAATTTTTTCAGTACTTAAATCGTCGCCTATTGAAAGAGATGTTTAAAAGCTTGCATTGTCCAGCGGAAAAATACGATGGCACTTGTTTGTTTTTCTTATTTCATTTCTGGCGAACAAACGGTTGCGGGCCATTCAGATTTAACCATTTTAAGTTCCTCTACAATCACCGTTGTTACGCGACTGTTTATACGAAAAAAGCAAACAACCCTTCCGGCGACTTCTGTTTACTATTAGGCTCATATTCGGGCTTATTTATGTCTTTTCATCAATCGACCCTAAGATTTTTTTAGGTTTTCTCAAAATGTATGGGAGTCAACAAGTAGTCTTCTTGTGCGGCTAAGTGATTATAAAAAATTTTATATATTTATGTGGATGGAACTAATGCCAAAGATCGCCTCAGTCCCACATTATGTGAGATGCCGACCTTACGTTATTAGTTTTTGCACAATTTGTTAATGTTTCTTGGCCGAATTACTGATAACTGATTTTGGATAACCTCGCTATTCCACCGCCACACAGAGCGGCTGCGGATGGTGCTTCATTGGTAAAAGTGAGCGTACGTCGATCAATAGAACTTTGTCTTGATAATCTACGTCGAGATTCGATTCATTACAAGAACATTTTCACGAGTTAATTATATTAGTTTGGGGAAAAAGAAATCCATTATTTTTATATGAACTTCAGGACTTTATTTAACATGCTTCGGATTGTCCGATTTGGGTCAAATATGCACCGTTTTGTTGTATGATTTGTTGCCATTTTAAAGGTAACTTCAAAATGCCTCTCTCATAGAAGTCCTGGTCTCTATTTGCAAAAAACTCTGGTAGTCGATTTTCACAATCCTCCCTAGATTCCAATTTTTTATCATTAAAGAAATTTTGCAATGCAAGAAAAAGATGATAATCGCTTGGTGCCAAGTCCGGACTGTACGGCGGATGCATTAAAACTTCCCAACCAAGCTCTCGAAGTTTCTGGCGAGTCACTGTAGATGTGTGTGGCCTAGCGTTGTCCTGGTGGAACACGACACCTCTCCTGTTGGCCAATTCTGGCCGTTTCTGGTCAATCGCTATCTTCAAACGGTCCAGTTGTTGACAGTAGAGATCAGAATTTAGCGTTTGGCCATATGGAAGCAACTCATAATAAATAATCCCCTTCCAGTCCCACCAAATGCATAGCAAAACCTTCCTGGCCGTTTGAGGTGCTTCACCGATCTTTGACCACGATCGTTTTCGCACAAGGTTATCGTATGTGATCCATTTCTCATCTCCAGTCACCATCCGTTTAAGAAATCTCATTCCGTTTGGCCAAGGCTTCGCAGATGGAAATTCGATCCATCATGTTTTTTTCTGTTAATTGGCGTGGCACCCAAACAGCGAGCTTCTTTTTGAATCCAGTTTGTGCAAATGGTGTAAAACTGTTTTATGGTCGATTTTTAGCTCCTGGGCGATGTTACGGCTGCTAACATGCCGGTCAACTTCGATCATTTCTCCGATTTTATCGACATTTTCGACGACCGGCCTACCTGTGCGAGGTGCATCTTTAACATCAAAAATTCCTGAACGGAATCTACGAAACCAAAATTGCACATAATTGGCTGTTACAGTATCGGAACCATAAACACCACTCACAATTTTAGCCGCCTGGCTTGCATTTTCGCCTTTGTCAAAGAAAAACTGTAAAATGTACCGAATTTTCTCGTTGTTCACTTCCATTTCTAACACCCTGTAACTCACAACTGAATGCACCAAACGAAAAACAGCAAAAGAATTTTTTTTACTGCGAAATGTCACCTTTCCAACGAGCATAAATATGAAATTGTTTGATCGATACTTTACGAGAAATCTATCAGTGCAGCCATCTATCGAAAAATAATGGATTTCTTTTTTCCCAAGCTAATATGTTTTCGAATCACATGTTCTGAAGGAGGTTATGGTTAAAAATGTAAACTTTACAGCGGAAACTTCATAAGGCACTTCGTATGAAAATATAAAGAACGATCTAAGTAAAACTCAAAGCAAGTATTTGTCAAAACGTATTTGGCGATCGAGTTTCTTGTTCCCTACAGTAGTTGTGGTACAGGCTTATGCGGGTTCATATAACTTCAGAAAGGCTCAAGATAGACTGATCTTTTATTGATTTGATTCAGAGTCGATGCCAGCTGTCTATCTTCCAGTCCGTCTGTCTATCTAATATTTGTCTGTGTATCTCTCTGTGTGGGTGTATATGACATCAGAAAGTCTCAAGATAGATCAACGTCTTGTTGATTTGATTGAGTATCATTTTCTGAATTTATTCTGTCTGTCCGTGTATACTTCCGTTCAACCTACACGACATAGCTATTGAGAAGTTTTGATAAAAATTGGTACGCTGACATAGTTCGGCCCTTCTGAAAATGGATTAAATCAGAACACCTTTAGTACCACCCCACTTATAACTTCCTTTTTTACTAAAAACTCGTCATACGAAAAAATAATTCAAACTTTTAAAATTGCTTTTGCATATAGTTGCTAAAGCTGGTCATTGCGTAAGAATTTCTCTCTTACTTGTTTTTTTTTTTAAGCATCTAACAATATAGTACTTTGTGTCATATAAAAAAATTTATTTGTATTTAAGAAAAAAAAAGTCTACGAAACCCTTAAGAATGGCGGAAAAAATGGGAAAGAAGCAATTTAAATCTCTTCTCTTTCCGCTAAATCCAAAAAGAGAAAACATACAAAGCGAGAATAAAATAAATATAATAAATGTATATACAGTTTATGTGAACATTTTCAAAAATCAATGTTTTAATAAAACTTTTATTCGTCTTTAGACGAATCTTGGATACCAAATATTTCGAGCTAATATGTATAAATTTTTCTGCAGAAACCAGTTTTGTTTACGAACATAACATCTTTAGTTTCTCAGGTCGAATAAAACTGAAAACCAAGTGATTTCCAACTTTTAATTTGCCCTGCGAACCCGAGAACATATGGCACAATACATAAGCAAGCTTCATTCGGCTTGAAAAATTTTCGGGACTTTTTTTAAAATAAGGTTACAATTTCAGTGTGCATGAAATGCAACGATGTCTTTGGATAAGGGTACGATGTGCTTGAATCCACACAAGTGCCCCAAATTCTCATGTGGCTATTTTCTTCTATTATGTACAGTTTTCACTTTTCCGAGATGAGAAGTTTCTTTATTGTAAATAATTAATT